TAAGACATTAAGAGGTCCTTATAATTATTATTAATTTATAAAATTTATACCCTTGAATTTAATTATATTTTTATCAAATTATGGATTAATAAACACAAAAACTGTCAAACTAAATATTTTTACCAACATCTAAATATAAACATAAATCATATGATTTTTAACTTTCAAAATAAGCCAGCCACAATCTGATTTCAAAAGAGCCATGCGCCAAAGATGCACATTCCGGTTGACTAACTCCTATGTTTCAGCGACCAATTAGAACATGTTTTAAAACAAAGTTAGCCAATAACGATGTGGAGGAAAGACTTTAAATCCCAACTTTTAAATTTGTACAATACTGCTATGGTCTTGATTGCAGACTTATTWATTGCCTCATTTCAGCATCAGGATATACAAACACTTTGATTCCATATGAATATTCTATGCAAAATCACCGCTTCCCTGAGCAACTGAAGACTAAAGTTTTCCCACGGCCAACAGCTATTGATGGCTTGAGAWTATTCAAAACATTGTCTTAGATGCTTGCTTCTGATTCGTTTAAGTTAGAATGCATTGTTTTCACACCCCATCGTGATTGCTTAACCTTGTAAGAGTGATCTGACACAACTTGAATATTCACACAGTAACATGGTCAAGATATACTACCATTTGAGAGCAAACATGAAGCATGATGTATTAAATTGTTTTTATTAGTTTATTTCTCAGATGTTTATCGATGTAAAACTTGGAAATTTCACAGATGAAACTTAATTGATGGAATCACCCACAAATTAAATTTCACTTGGGTAACAGTCAAGTTTTACATGTTTTAAATGCCTTGGACCTGTTGTACGTTGGGTGGATAGCACTAACTAATGGATAAATCCTCATCCAGTGGATACACCTACTTGCAAGAATGTTGTCATACGATATTAGAACGTTAGTAATTTAGTGAGAAAGGAATACATTAAAAGACAAAAGCAAAGTTCAGCTTCATTGATCTTCTTTTGTTTTTTAAAATAATTCCTATCCCACTAAATCACTAATGTTCTATTTTCGTATGACAACGTTCTTGCAAGTAGGTGTAAGTTGATTCTGTAATTCAATAAATTTATCCACTGGATAAGGATTTATCTGTCAGATAGCTCTATCCACCCTTCGTACAACCAGGCCCTGAAAACTTATGAAAACAAATTTGTCACATCACGCTTCACGGTTGCATAATACATGTACAGCTGTAGTTGGGGTCCCTGACCCGTACCACTTCCTCTCCCCACCTGTGCCCAATGGTTTCCTTGTGTTTTTGCATGGCTTGCCCGGCTATTTCTGGTGAAGCAAACTCCACGAATGCTTCCCCTGTTGTCTTCCCCTCCTCATCTAATGTGATGGTAATCCCATTTGGTACAATCTCCAACCCTTTGGAACACCAGCAAAGAAAGGGGACAATCATAAAGGAAATGGTTATTACATCACAACTATCGACAACCCTGCTAATAAGTATGGATAACCAGTGATAACGTTAGCGGGGAGGGGATGGGATGCTGGATACTGCCTGTCAACAATGTTTCTGCAAACAAGACAACTCAATTGGGATTCCCGTGATACATTCTATCCTTTGTAATTCTGGCATACAATTCAATTCATTGAATTCCAAAAGTCATAGCACTTAACTGAAGTGAATACACTAAACTCATGGTTTTGAATTGAACAATTTCTTTGATCCCTGTTTCTTGTGCTCACGCTTGCTCTCTCTCTCTCTCTCAGTACTTGTAATGTTCTCCTAAGGTGTGAATTCTTCCGTGCAACTGTCTATCAATGACTTATTGCAAGGGAGGGGTGGGTTGTTCTCACTCAGTACTTGTAATGTATTTCAATACTTTGAGGTCAAAAGGCTACAGGCTGGCAAGGCAAGTACCGAGAACCAAGACACTATATTTTGCTAGTTAGATAGGTAGGGTAGGTAGGCAGGGTAGGAAGAGTAGGTAGGTATAACTTTATTTAGCTGATTTAGCTAGAGCTGATTTCCAGGAGGGGCACATGGAATGGCTATGCAAGTCAGGAATAGTGTAATGTTGGCGGATGACCTAGAGCTAACTTGATTGCAGAAACATTTTAAGGCCACACACTCAAGCATGTTTTTRGACTTTCTCAATCAGACAAGGTTGGCTAGGACATCCAAGGTCGAATGTCATTTGAATAAGAAATATTCAACAACATTTTAGAAGGAATAACTTGAGGGAAGGGATGGACAAGGCTCAAGAATTTACATAATAAACAGATATTGTAGAATATTTCAATTAGTAAAAATGCTTAATGAAACTGAGAACTTGTAAAGACAACTACCAAATGGGGACAGAAAAGAGAACACTTTCAAATAACTCTTCCAGGCTATACTTGGGGTATACTATAATCTAAGCATGCAGATTTTCAAACATTATAATCAGACTTCAAGCTTACCGGTAAAGAACTGTGCTATTTCCTCCTTAGAACAGCCATATGGCAGACCACGAAGACGTACAACRGACTCAAGGTCCTTGTCTTGTGGGGGTCCCATGCGCTTGATCACCCAGTCCATTTCCTCRGCCTTGGAGCGGAACACTTCAATGTATCGTTTTCCCATGTGCTGGTTGTTCTTTTCAAGAGCACTGCAAAGAAAACGAAGTTTTATTTTTGAAGATTGCAATGTTTTCAATGCAAAGTCATGGGGAATTATTGCTTTGCACATGGATGTGAAGAACTGGAGGTACTTGAAGCCTGTGAAGTCATTTTTACGAATTCTTTCTAAATATTTACCCTAAACCTAACTTCAAGGTAYTTAAGTTATTCCTACGAAGGGTATAGATATCTAAACAAACTAGGCCACATGTGTTACCATTTAAAATGTAAATGTTATCATGTTACATGAACAGGCCTCCATTTAAACCATCTGCGGTCATTCCGAAATGAGTTCATCCCAGTTTTCATGTCTGAATTTAATGCTCATTCTGCTCCAAGGGAATGTGGAAATAAACACTCATTCCAGAATGAAACTGCACTACAAACCTCGCCTATCAGACATTTCAAGATGGTGATGCCATGCAATCAGAGCTGAACTCATTCTGGCAAAACTTATCATGTACATACAGTATGAAATTCATTCTCGTACTGAGATAAATTCATTCTGGTATTATGTTTAACATCCCCTAATTTGTATAAGAGCTACTTACGTATTCAAATCTCCTTCTGAAGCAAGTTCAATAAAGCATTCTCCACTTGGTCTTCCATCAACAGCAAAAGTAAAATGAACTCCATTTTGACCTCCAATAATATTGCAGTCTAAAAATATGGAATACGATTTTTTTTAGATAATTTCCGATCGTTAAAATGAAATTTATTTGCAATCTTTAAACTTCATACCAGCAAAAATTTGGAAATGCAGTAAATTGGAACCTGTTTTTGATGCTCCAGTTTCAAATTCGCTGTAGTACAGGGTTAGCCTYGATTTCACATGGAATTAATTTGAATATTTATGCATCCCAGCGAAGGTTAATAGAATTTCAAAGTGCTGGTATTGTTGAARTTGTGCATTCTTGAATTTATCATTATTTGTGATCAAGGAACACAGTGATATTTGACCAATAATTCAAAAACGGCCTATTTGAAGCTAGTTTTCATTAGCTACATCATGCACTGTTTTCTTTAGTAATACAATTTTGCAAGCTGATATAACATGTTTATTTTGTTGCAACATATTTCTAACTTSGTATAGGAAATCGCACGATCTTGAGTACAATTCAATTTTAGGAAAGTCCAATTTAAGAACTTTCAAAACATCATGAGTATCCACAAATTCCGAATTGTTGAAAAGATTGTGCAATTTTTTGTTTATGATACGCTCAACAAAATTGAGCAAGTTAATTGGGACTCTACAGAGTGCAATTTGGGATTTAATTGTACTCCTCTTGTCCAATCAGAATCGATTTTGTAGAGAATATTTTCAGTCTGTTAAGTTTTTACTTACCACTAAAGAATTTATATACATCCTCCTGGGTGGCTGACCAGGGCAGACCCCTTGCACGGACCACATACTCTCGAGATGACCCCTCCATCTAAAAACACAACACAAAGTATTGATTATCTTAAAACGTCAAAGAATATAAAACCATTCTTAACTCAA